TAAGCTAACTACAGGCATATAGAATGACATAATACATGTATTTCTCTATAATATAACAGTTTAAACTGCTAAATGGAGGAGAATATACATTTAGAAAGAAAATTCGCTAAAGACAGTACACCGTTTTAGGAGGAATTAGGATTGTTATTTAAGAATTCCTCTCGAATACGAAAGAGAAGTCTGAATGGGGAGTCACAACGTAAACGTTAATTTCACAAGCGTCAATTAGTGAATATACATGGAATAAAAGGAACGTCTAAGAAGAATGTACATGTTCAAAGATGATTTACGTGGCACATAAGCCATTGCTACATAATGTCTATCATAATAGACTCCAACCAGTATGGTTATTAATGTTGGAACTGCGAAATGATGATTTGAACACTTCAAAGATGATAAAATATAGGCGAAGAGAAACAGGAAAACTTAAGATATGATGATGTTATTCCCTAAGAATAGGACACATTGTTTAATACCATGTCAGGGGGTTAGAATAAATCAATGTAAATATTAAGATAATACATTGAAAATCCCCCTGATAGCATAGAACACAACCACGCAGTTAGGATATTCATGTAATAGATGATTTCTTGAATTAATAAACAGAAAGAGAATTAAGAATGATGGAATCTATTCTGCATATGTATGTGCGTTATTTAATTTAAATGGGGCATTATTACTGGCATGTTCTTTTTATTAAAAACGACCGAATTAATTCCAACTTTTGTTCATATATTTAAAGACTCTCTTATATATTTTTTACCAAAATCGAATAAATTATGGCCAAATTCTTATGTGAGGGGATGTCCATTGTTCGGAAAGTGGAAGCAATTTTTGAAGTCCACTGTGAAATTATAATGTTAACGGAGCAGTCATATATATGAAAAGAAGAAGAAAAAACAAAGAGAAGAGGAAAGCGAAGAAAATAAAAGAAGAAGTGGAAAGAAACAGAAGAAATAAAAGGGGCACCATCAGGTGGAATACTATATATACGTAGAAACAGCTGAGGAATCTTTCTGTGGCGGAATATAGCGGATTCTGGTGATGAAGGATGAGCAAATCATGCTTATCCGTTTAGTACGCTATGTGCCACTGCCAGATGAATATATGAAAACAGAAAATATGCAAAAGCGAATTCAAGATATAACGGCTTCCGGATCCCAAGAGAACAAAAGCGACACTTCCTTAAAGAGGATAACCATTTAAGGGATTATAACAGAAAAGTGAAGATGTGAGTTTTCACGTACATTTGAATACTCCATTACATATCACACAAAACATAAGGAGAATCAAAAGAGGGAGTCACGCTGTAATTTGACACATTTCGCTATAATACGAGGGTTATCATAATATATATATATGCGAGTAAGATGAAGCAGGGATGCCGACAGAATCGGTGGTATCCCTTCTGATGGGTTATGTGATGATCACTACTTAGGGAAACACGGGCCTGTTCCAAAGATACCATATTTCTACATGCTCCTCTTCCGTGTTAAATTTGATGAATCCCGTTTCGCAAAGATATAACCAGGAAGCTCCCTCTTTTTTCATACTATTAGGAATTCCCTCAATTCTTTCAGTAGCGCATACACTTATTGTTCTCTCAATGGAGGAATAAATATGGAAAGAAAATGGCATAACTTTTATTTACGTTGATAAATGAATGATAGGGGCTTTTGTAATTACAACTTTACGGCAGATAGATCTGATATGTAAGTAGTGGACAACCTGGACTTTCCGAATGCTGTGGTACTTATATATGCTGGTTCTTCTTCTTTTTCTACTGTTAAGTTATGATTTTCTCTCTAAGGATATTTTATCAATGTGTGATTTCTACTGCGGTGTCTTAAATGGGTTGTGCCCTATTCCGTACTGAAGCGTCCGGATGGGGGAGAGCATTTTATCTAAATTCCATGTCTCTACGTGTCTCATAGGGCAGTCTTCCCTAATTTAATAGGTGCAAGGTAATACAGAATCCAATATGCCATGTTTCTCATTAAGTGAAATAAATAGAAAGTGATTTTCTTCCACCTGTTGCGTATATTTCCAGGCTGTTATGTATAACGAGTATTTAAAAGAACAGATAAGGGGACTACTCTCAGGAATGCTCCAGGGGGATTATTACAAATAGGAAATTATGCCTTCACAATTTGGACATTTTTTATACCTTGTATGTTACGGAAAATTTTTCTACCCCCACATTCGACACGAAGGGGGCATAGAAACGTAGATGAAATGTTTCGCGGCCATCAGATATGTTCCCCTGATGCTGAGTCAGAACTGGTGAGCTGCCTTTCACATCAGTCTCGCATTGCAATTGTGTCTAGCAGTGCGATTGATTATCTTCTGAATTTGTTAACTATTTTACTTACTTGTTGTCCGTGTGTCTGGAAGTACTTCTCCCTTTCCTTTCCCGGATAGCAATCCCTCGCCTGTTTCTGTCCTCTGTATTTATCAAAGTTCTCTTAGGTCATCTCACTGTATGCCATCCGTATCAATACCATTCCAATGTAACATCTAAGTATGAGTGTTTTATTTCGCCCCTGAAGCCCATCTGCTCCAGGTACGTCATTATCAGGCTGGTGTGAGCTCTCCTATTATTGTCCGTTCGTTTCCCCTTATAGGAGGCGTGTTAATGTCTGTGCTTTATACTCAATATGTCTTTTTCTGGACATTCCCAGAAAAATTCTGTGGGTATTTGCTAGGTTTGGGGACGTTTCCATATTTTTCTCGTTCAAACAGTTTCTTATGTGGCCACTCAGGTACAATTTCACGTCTTGTGAATTCTATTGCTCTTTGCATCCATCCAGTAGCATCATGAATAGCGTTATCAACTCTTCCGTATGTAGTCCCTCATCTGTAAGTACACACAGTTTGTGGTCATATACTTCTTGTTTTTCTTTAAGGCATCTTCTCCCCGAGGGGTTATCGGCCGTCTCATATATCACATTCTCAGCTGTTTCTTTCTCGTAGACCATTATAACTTTCTAAAAAGAACTATCTGGAATATATTGTTTCATACGTATGGGCTGCTTTGAAACCTAATTGCTACATAGACTCCCTCGCCTTTGTAGGACAGGAGTATTTCGTTCCTGGGTGAATTGATTGCTTGTAGACATTACAATTTCCTGAACGCATTGTTCTTCCGTTCTGCGTCCCTGGTGTAATCTGTGGAATTAATTGTTCTCCTCCAAAATATCAAAAATATACGAGTATTTATGTTCGAAACTATGCCACTAATGTTTTGGTATGTACAGATCCCCACAGTTGTGCGCATCTATCCAGATTATATTGCTCCGTCAAGTAATTTCACCTATCACACCTTTATTTATCATAAATGTTTGCACCACTACTTGGAGGAAATGTTCTTTGGTCAATTTGCATTATTCTTCTTTGATTCAGCTAAGAGTTCCGTATGTATATCTAGAATCTTCTGGGAGACATTTCCTTCTTACCTTGCATGTATACATTTTTTGGGATGTGTTAATTACATATTAACTATACATATTAAGGGCCGCAACATGGCATGTCATCACTTTATATATTCCTCTTTCCCTCGCAATGAGGGACACACATTGCTGTTTGCACGTATACTCTTCTTCTGGATTTGTGATTTCTGTATTTGAACGTAAACAGCGGTTTTAGGGGTATGTATTGCGCTAAGGAACAGAGTTGCCACAAGGGGTTAGACCCCGTTCTTCAGCGTCACATAAATACTGACGACGCTGCACTAAAGGATATTTTCCGTCTGTGCATATATATACATATATATACTTCCATAACGAAGATAGCCTCTGTAATGAAACTTCCGACTGCTATGATAATAACTAAAAACTCAATAAAGGCAATACCATCATCATTTAGTGTTAGGGGGCCTACACCGAGTGTGCGGTGTGCTCAAGACTGCTAGTTCCGTATCCCGAAAAGTAGTAAACATAATGACAAAGGGGGGAAATACCTGGCACTGAAGGACATTATGTACTCACGATAGCGATGAATTTATGTGTAGTGCGCTGTGACACACATTTGCAAAAAATGATACGTGAAGAACCGATGAAGGTGGATAAAGTATACTAAACCTACTCGGAGAAGGAATTGCCTGCAATTAGACACAAGCGGTGAAGGATATTTCTGCTAAATATTCAATTAATAATGAACTGAAGGAGTTTATAGTTATTTATTTTGATAAAACATCCCTCACTCATGTGAATCTGATATTCCCTTAGAGGATATACTCTTCTGGATATTGAGTTCTAAGATCAGCTTAGCATCCTATCATGGTATTAATGGAAATGTCAAATCTGTCAGTACCCCGGTTTAATACTAACTAAAGAAGAAATCCATTTTGAATAAAGAGATTGGCTAAATGGGAAGACGTATGCGGGTGAATAGTAAGAGTTAAGCATTCTTCGCCATACAATACCCTATGGGAGGGAGAAGATATTGCAATAACTATATTTAGGAATTTCTCTTGTCCGGTTACGCCAGACGCCCACTATTACGAATGTGGTAACGCGATCTGATTAATTTGGTAGGGAGGATTACTTATTATGGACAAAATATAAGAGAAAAAAGAACCGAGAAGTTTGAGTATTACACCCCTATGTAAAGCAACGGAGGATACAGTGACATGAAAGTATGTCAATCAGAATCAAACCGGAATCGATACGGAACGACGAGAATAATGATAACCCACTTGATTGTGATTACCCCCAGACATATATAATACGAGAGGGAACAAAGATAGTGAAGCAATTGTGGGGATGGTTATAACATATTACAACAAATACGTCATAAAGATTAGGAAGAAATTCCAGTATTGAATCATGAATAGAAACTGACAATAACAGATATATGTGATTATAATGTTTTCATTTCTGCATATGAGGAATGGCAGTAAACTAACGAAAGAACATACGGCATTCCTCATTTGGAGTGGTTAAGCCATTTTACCTTATGGGTATGAAATGGCCATGCATCAATTCTGAGAGGCATGAGCAGGATATTGGCGCCAGATATACACGTAATTCACATCCGTCTATACATTGCTATCATTTATTGATAATTGGCTATGAACTCCTGACCTCTTTACACGTTACCATTGAAGATATATATACCAGTGGATATACATACATATATGTATATTTCTTCCGCTCCTTATATGGAATCAGTTCATCAGTCATAGAAATAGGAAGTCTTAACCTGGTGATTCATGATGCCCATCTGGCGTCATACGGAAAATGGATATCCAGGGACACAACCAGAACGGAAAAGAATGGTACGGATGGTTAAACATCTTTAAGCACAGGGAAAACGTAGTTACCAGTCTATGCTGATTCAAATTAGAAGATTGTTCATTTGGCATAAAAATGTGCCCCCTTAAATTACACGATTGTTCATGACGTGTCCTATCTATGCATATATAAAGGAAATAATGGATT